AATTGTGTATTCAGCAGTGCTCAGGGTTCACAGGCTTTAATTGCTTATTTTTCACACTCAGTGCTTTTGGGGATTTGAGGAAATGACGGGCTAATTTCACTGCTTTCTAAATATTGGAAACCAACATTGCTTCCTATGGTATTGCAAATATTGCCATAAAGCATGTAATTATAGCCTACCTGAGGCACGGCACAGCTGTTGTTGTGGCACAAATTACAGTGTATTTTACATTGGTTTAGTGAACATTTGGAAGGACTTGCTTAAATTTGATGCTTATAAAAGACAATGGTGTCTTAAAGCTACCAGTGTCATGAATTTTGAATGGGATATGAGACTTTTTTGGACTGTTGTTGTCATCTTCAGCCATCAGCAAATGAAGAAGGTTGTTAGATATAGTGTTGAAAACTACCTTTCTTATAGGACTGCATGATATTGAAAATATATATCTAAAACGTGATATGGCTCAGCATGATTATCAAAAGCCAAAGGCTCCAGTTTAATTAAGTATGTGCACAGCGGGTTTCAGAGTGAAGCGAGGCACTGTGTTCATTTACACCCCAGCAGCTCATGATCCAGTGTTTTCAGTATCTCAGAGCAACACAGCCGTTGAGTTTGGGTCGCTTTAACATGCATTTGGGAACGCAACATGTGCTAACCATTTCACCACATCATTTATAAACCTGTTTCCAGCAAAGAAATGTTTAAGGCTTCTTGCAGTTTTCTGCCAAAATGAAAGCTTGATGGTTTAATGTTTGAAAATGAAGGAACTTCGACATATTGTAATTCTACGGTTGTATCATATTTTTCCAAATATTCCAAAAGGACTTGTATAATGCAGTTAACGTCAAGTGGACTAAATAAGCACAAAGCAAACACATTTGGATTTGTGTGTATAGTGCATTTCCCACATGCTGGTAGTTTCAGTTTTGCTTTAAATAAATCAGTTTAGGCTTTAAAATGAATGTTTAAACTAAATGCTTCTATAATTGTTTTATACTTACATTTTTATTCCTGTTCTATTCTGAATGCCATTAAGTTTAAAGGATTTGTTGTGGAGTAAGGGAAACTAAAATGAACGTTTATAATGTTTGCAAGTGATTTCTATACATTATAATATAATAATAAAATATTACTTACAGAATACACCAATGTGTTTTTTAATACAAAATTTTGTAATCAATATTTTTCAGTACAGTTGTAATATTTCAACCATAAAATTGCAAAGCATAAATAATATATGATAAAGATAATATATTCTTATTTTGTTTAATATTTTTATTTAATAATAATCACAATAAAAGTCATAATAATACTTATTTTATGGACATATCAAATGAGTTAAACAGTAACTAAAGTGATAACTAAGTGGAAAGATATTTTCACTTTATGGTTTACTATTATAGGTTTGAATCGGCTCTTGTAAAGTGTATACCCAAGTGTGAACATTTTTCTTTTAGGTTTTTCCCAAATTGATCAGCCCTAAAGGAAAGTCTTCAAAGCAAACAGTACTTTTTCATATTTTTTTCATATTTGTATTTTCTATGCATATGCACTCCCCTAAAAAATCACCTCGATCATTCTAGAAGGATTCATTCTTTACAAATAGAACAAGTCAATTGCTGTATTTATTTAAATATTGCAATGTCAGTTTTTATGATATCATGCAGCCCTACTTTCATATTTCCGAGTCTGAGGCACAGTCTTATCCTTGACAGGTGCTTTTTCTTTTTTCTGCACGTGTGTTTTATCCACAGGCATCAATCACAAAAGTGCCTTTGCATAATGTGAACATGTGACGGACTTCACTGACAGAGAGGTCACCGTCGATACGTGACGGCGTCTCTGACGCTTTAAATGAGCATATTGTTAAAGAGTTGAATTGTGAGCAGTGTTTGTGTTGTAGGTCCTGGCTTGCCTCTCTCAATGTCAGTATGTGTGAATCAGGGCAGTCTTTCCTCACATAACCCTCCGCTGGACCGGCCAGGCTTGATAAGAGTCCCCACAGGACAGGGAGGCTTTGACCGTAAAATGGAAATACGTAATCTCTGGCCAAAATCGATTTTGTAACCCGCAGAAATCGAAGAACTAAGAGCATTCACATCTGAGACACATCCTATGCTTGACAGAGATAAGAAATCGACCCAGTAAGGGTTCTCCATCAACACTCTCTGACATTTTACGTCAAGATGTCACAGAAAGACAACACAGAACAGAAGGCGATGGCCATAGCTGTCAATGGCGTGCATGCTGAATTCATTCATGTCTGTTGTATATCACAATTTTTAACATTGCATATGCAACCTTTTGGGCAGAAACGGTGAGTTACTAAAGGATTCCCAAAGGCTAGTGTCATAGTTTTAATAAAACTAAGCTATTA